GAGAGGAGATTTAACTTCCATTCTAAATGCTCCTCATTGAAGATAACACACATTGCTTTTGCTGATGACATCATGATGTTCTCCAGAGGGGACAAAGAATCTGTCTAGGTCCTTGCTGATGCCTTGAAGCACTTTTCCTCTGTCTCAGGCCTCCATGTCAATGCACAGAAATCAAATATTTACTTGGCAGGGCAAATCAAGGGGAATAAGCAGCATATCCTCAACTTGGTGAATTTCCCTGAAGGACTTTTACCAGTTAAATACCTGGGACTACCACTCACTTCACAAAGGGCATCAGAGAGGGACTTTGCACCATTGATTGAAACTGTTGATGATAATATAAGAAGATGGAACACAAAAACTTTGACCATTGCTGGAAGAGCTGAACTTATTAGGAGTGTTATCCAAGGGATAGAAGGTTTTTGGCTTCAAGCTTTCCCCATCCATAAATCTGTCCTTAACAGAATAACCTCCATTTGCAGAACCTTCCTTTGGGGAAACAAATTCTACAAAGTGGCTTGGGATGATATTTGCAAACCAAAGGAGGAAGGGGGACTTGGGCTTAGGAACTCAGAAGTCTGGAATCAAGCACTTATGGCTAAAAACCTATGGAACATTGCTTCAAGGAAAGAAACCCTCTGGGTTCAGTGGGTTCACAGTGTCTACCTCCAGGACAGAGATATTTGGGCCTGGATCCCTAAACATGGGGATTCACACTTCTTCAAAAAACTTGCAGAAGTGAGAAACAATCTAGCCCAGAAGCTTGGTACTGATCAGTATCAAGAAGTGGATTGGGATGAACTCCTTGTAGATGGAGAATTCTGCACAGCAAAGGTGTATGATTTATTGAGAGTCCATTTGCCTCCCAAACCATGCATGAAAATGATTTGGCAAAGCTACATTCCACCCAGATTCTCTGTTACAACCTGGCTTGCCATTAGAAGGAGGTTATCAACCAAGGTGAATCTGGGATTCATCCCCATGGAGAATAGGAATTGTAGCCTCTGTGGACAAGAACTTGAGACCACTGATCACCTTTTCCTTGCTTGCACTGCTTCCCATCAGATTTGGAAGAATGTGAAAGATTGGCTCAAAATTCCTTATGCACTCTCAACTATTGAAAGAGTCATCAAATGGCTCCTTGGAAGGCATAGAGTGCATGGTAACCTGAGAAACATTTGGAGATTAGCAGCAATGAGTACCATACACCATATTTGGAAGATGAGAAATGCTGTATATTTTGAGGGTAAGAGTGTGGACTGTGATGCAACTACTTGGAAAATTAAGGTGGGGGTTTATAAGATTTTCTACAGGCTCTATCCCAATATTGCACTGTAAGCCCTCTCTCTTTGATCTTGTGACTAGTTGCCTTGATTGGGTTTATGTGTTTTAATGATTTTCTCATTAAACCACTTAACCTGTTTTCTTGGTACATCATTGACTCTATCATACTGGTTTATCTAGTCTGATTAGGCTAATGATGTACCATGGGTGGGGTTTTTACTCCTGGCTGTTGGTTGGTGGATAACAGGATACATAGTGCCTACCCCTTTGGATAAGCAATATGTACCCCTTTTGGATATGTAGAGACTGACTTAGGTCCTGGTTGGGGTGTTCACACCCATTTCCTTCTTTTTCTCCCTCTCCTCACCTTCTTGCTGTTCACCCTTCTCTTCTTTGCCTCCTCCTTCTCTCTTGGTCATAACTTGGTTGTTCACACTCCAGTCACTCTTCAGATGGAGTATGAGCAGACTTGGTTATGGCCTGGGGTCCTTTTGGGTGGGTGGACCCTTTGGGTGGTGGAAACAGGTCATTCTTTGGATACCCCTTCTGGATATGTAAAGAATAACCTGGGTCCCAGGTTGGGGTGTGTCACACATCCATTTTCTTTCTTTCCCTTCCCCTCCCCTCCCTTCTTCTCTCTTCTTCTCTTCCCTTCATCACTTCTCTCTGCTTCCCTCTCTCATCTTTTCCTCTATGTTCTGGAGTCAAACCAAGACACACATTGCCCTTCTTCCTTTGAAGGAATGTGTTAATTGGTTTGCCTCCATTGCCCTTTGACTTTGGTGGAACATTGTGTGATTACAGTGCCTTTGATGTTGGACTCTTTGAAGATGACCTAATTCTGATAACCTTGGCCACTCTTACCCAGCCATGGCATAGCCTCTCCTTATTTGCATAAGGGAGTTTCTGATTTGCTACCACTTGGCCTGGGGGGCTGAGGTTTTGATGGAATTAGGCCACTGTTTCTGTGATGACCCTGCCTCTTTTTGGATGAGCTGGAACAAATTTGCTGTTGGTGACTCAATGGACCTGACCTGGAACATTCTGCTTTGGCTTTCCTCAGGAGGATCCCTATTTGATATCTTGCCTTGAATGATGATGCAGCCCTTAGCACTTACTGGAATGATTTGGCTGCTGTTTCTTTGCTTTTTCTGAGTTACCTGTTTGCAAAGGTTGGTTTGACAGGAGTGTGCTGATTTTCATAGTTGGGTTTGACTACTCCTGTTTTTGGCGTCCCTGTGTTGTAGAAGAGTTGTTACACTCTTTGAAGGGACTTGGGTATACCTGTTTGTAATGATCGTTTTGGACGTGGCTTTGACTCCTACTCTCTTGGCTTCCCTGTGTTGTAGAAGAGCATGAACACTCTTTGAAGGGACTTGGGTGTACTTGTTTGTAATGTGTGTTTGACAAGAGATCACTGCTGTGCCTTAACTAGAGCAGTGCAAGCATGATGTTGTTTTGATTTTTGGCCTCCCTGTGTTGTAGAAGAAGTTGTTAACTTCTTCGAAGGGAATTGTATTTGGCCTTGGTTGTATTTGTTGTTTTGATGTATTGCGTTGTAATTGCTTTTGTAGTTACGGTGTACTTGTAACTTCTTAAATATGCGTGTAACCATGTTGATGGTTAAGCATATAACATTGATGTACCTTTTCTGATTTGGGTAATAATAATTTACATGTTACCCTTGAAAGAGCTCTCAATGTTACTCATTTAAACCCTCTTTGTTTGGGTGTTTGAAGGTTGGTGTGTCTTCCCTTTGGTGCTGGTTGGGTGGGTGGGGCCCACTGGTTTTGTGGACTGGTGGGGTTGTGAGGAAACAAATCAACCTCTATTAACCCCTTCTGGGTAGGTAGAGGTTGATTTGGGTCCTGTCTTGTTGGTGTTCAACACCTCTCCTTTTCCTTGTACATCCCTCTTTCCCCTTCTTCTTTCTCTTGCTTCTCCCTCATCCTTTGCTTCTCTCTCTTTTCCTTTTCCTCCTTCTTCTGTCTCTGGGAACACACCTGGATGCACTCACTTATACCCCTCTTTTGGTTGAGTATTTGCAAACTGGTGTGCACCCCCTACCTTTATGGTTTCTGCTTGGATTCATCTTGGATGCTGTGTGGATGGCATGGATAATCTTTCTGGCTTTGTTTTGTGAATTCTCTCATCAGGGTAGAGCACCATCACCTTATGCCTGAGTACTCCATCCTAGCTCATTTGTGTGAGACAGGTTTTGACTTGGTATTATTTGGTGCAAATGGTCCATTGGTGCTTCTAAACTCCTGATGGATTTGGTCCTGCTGTTACTGTGCTTTGAGCCTTCAACCAGAGTTGGAGTACCTGCTGATCTCACCCTACTTCACTTGAGTGAAACA